TATGCCTGCCCCTTCAAGCTTTTATTGTCTTGAATTAAGAAATAGTAGAGTAGTCTCATGAAAGATTAATCACTTCCTATGAGAGTCTGGTACCTGCAGACAAGCAATTACTAAAATATGTCCAAAAAAGACAACAAGGAAGGATGTTAAAAGTGTATCAGCCAGGTATTTATTGGCAGGAAGGATACAATGCTTGTTTGGGTGCCAGGTTTTTTAGAGCCAAAATGAACTTCTCTCCTGAGTTAATGGATCATATTTTGTTTCAGACAAGAGTAGCAATGTTTTCTTTGTAATGATATCTAGAGCTTTGACTCTGTACAGGTATTTTTCTTGAGGCAACTGTACTCACATGCATATACCCTTTATTCCTTTCTCTGAACTAAAGACCAAATAATTTAGACATGACTTTTAGAGTGTTTTCTGCTTGACACGATGGCTAGTGATGGGTTTTGTGTCAATGAATGAGGTCCTAAGTGGGTGTTCCTTTGGGCAGGAACCTGAATGACAGCTGCTAAAAATTAAATGGGGTGTTTTAAGATGGAAATCCTTTTTTTGTTGTTGTTCAGTCATCTCAGTCATATTCAACTCTTTGTGACCCCATTTGGCATTTTCTTGGCAGAGATACAGGAGTGATTTGACATTTCCTTCTCTAGCTCATTTTACAGATGAGGAAACTGAGGCAAACAGGATTAAGTGACTTGCCCAGGATCATGCAGCAAGTACGTGTCTAAGACCAGATTTGAACTTAGGAAGATGAGTCTTCCTGACTCCAAGCTCTGCATTCTATCCACTGCAACATCTAGCTTTTAACATTTAGCTCCTCAATAAAGAATGACCTAGGATAGTAGATCTAGAGGGAATCTCTTACTAATCTAGTCTAACCTTTTCATTTCTACAACTGAGAAAATTGAGGCTCAAGGTCATAGAGGTAGTAAGTGGTAGAACCAGGATTTGAATTCATGTGACTCCTATGACTCAGCATTTATTAAACTATATCATGCTATCTCTCTAAGGACACATCCCTGCTATTTCTAGAAATTCATTTATTTTGGGACAGCTAGGTGGCACAGTGGATAGAGTGCTGGCCCTGGAGTCAGGAGGACCTGAGTTCAAATCTGGTCTCAGACCAGACACTTGACACTAGCTGTGTGACCCTGGGCAAGTCACTGAACCCCATTGCCTCCCCCCCAAAAAAGAAATTCATTTGTTCATCAAATCATTGAGTACTTACTGAGTACAATGCTCTGTATTAAGCAACAGGAGAAGCACAATGGAAAAAAAAACACAGTAGGAGGACTGGAAGTAAGTAAGCATTTATTAAAGAATTACTATGTGTCAGGCACTGTGCTAAGTGCTGGGGATACAAATATAAGCCAAAAGAAAGATATTCCTTGTCCTCAGGGAGCTTACATTTTAATGGAGGAACATAATACACAAAAGGAAGCTAAAAGGTAGTGATGGGGAAGAGGGAATGAAGATACTCAGTGTTGGGGCATAATTTTGGAGTCCAGAGGAAGTCAGCAATAGGACAGGGAGGAGAATGAAAGTAGGCTAGTGGGCCTTCCAGAAGATGTCCCCAATCAAAGAAATAGCATTTTGATAGAAATACCATTTTTATACTCGGGCAAATATTTGGGAAGATATAGATAAGCATTGTGAAGGATGGACAATCATGAAGGGGCTGTGATCTACATCACTGGATGAGGGGTCCTCAACAGAGATATCATATTTATTGGAATTGTATTATTGTATTATATATTGTATATGGTATTATGTATTACAATTATTGTATTAGAATAAAGCACAATTTTACTTAAAAATTCTCAACACACTCAACAAGTTTATATTCTCGTAAGGAAAGAGAAGATGAACATTAGAGGCAAATATGAAACAAGTTAAACATAGATCTTAAAGCTGGAACGGACCTTACAATCTTTTTTTTTTGGCTAGGCCATGGGGTTAAGTGACTCGCCCAGAGTCACACAGCTAGTTAGTGTTATATGTCCGAGGTCAGATTTGAACTCAGATCCTCCTGAATCCAGGGCTGGTGCTCTATCCACCATAACTCAAAAGTATGTCCGGTTGGTTAGTACATGAAGGAAGTATATTGATAAATGTATCTTTTGTATATTCTTAAATCAGTCTTCATTTGAAGTATCTTGGATTCTTGTCTGACCTTGGACCATTCTTGCCTGGATCATAATACCACCACATTGCTGACTTGGGCTTACAATCTTAGTGTCATCCTTGATACCATACTTGATTGGGGTATATGAGATGTTCAGGGACAACTAGTACCTCTAGTATGAGGGCTTGTTGAGTCCCTTTCAGGGCTGCTTTCCACCTTTGTTATCCACCCAGTTCACTCAATTCTCACCTGTGGCTCCAAGAAGCTGTAGCATGTGCAGCAGCTCCTAACCTCGGCAGACAATCTAAACTAGGTTGAGGAAAACTGATAAGTCTCACACCTGTCAATGAGTTACTGAGGTGTCCACTCCAAGCATGTGAAGACTATCCCTGGTGGAATGGGTGGATGAGAACAATTTGTTCCAATGGATGAAGGTGGATGAAGCAGGCACTTAGAAGCAAGCTCTTAGAGCTTGGTCAGACATCAAAGACACCAGGATCATGCAGTGGATGACCTTGGATTGTTGTATTTGCTGAGAATAGCCAAGTCATTTGTAGTTGATCATTATACAATGTTGCTGTTATTGTGTACAATGTTCTCCTGGTGCTGCTCATAAGTTTCAAAATCCTTAACCTGGTATTCAAGGTCTTTTTTCAATCTGGCATGATGTCCTGACTTTGCAACTTTATCCCCACATGACTTTGCTTCAGGCGCGCTAAACAAGATTACCTGCTATCTCCCATGTGCATCCCATGCTTTCCTGCTTCCTTGTCTTCGCTCACACTTTGCCCTACTCCTGAAATTCCCTACCTACCATCTTTACCTATTGAAATCCTGCCTATTCCTTGAGGCCCCACACAAATGTCACTTCTAGAATCACTTTCAGTGATTTCACCAAGCAGTAATCATCTTCAGACATTAGACTTCACATGGTGCTTCTCTTAGGCACTTACTATGTATCAATACTATTTGTGTATTTGGCCATTTCCCCTGCTAGGTTTTGAGCTCCATGCACCATGCATCATGTCCCTTCCCCTAGTATAGTGTTCTGCATAAAAGTTTTGTTGATCAGTCATTTTCAGTCATGTCCAACTTTTCATGACCCCATATGGGGTTTTCTTGGCAAAGATACTGGAGATATTTGCCATTTCCTTCTCCAGCTCATTTTATAGATGAGGAAACTGAGGCAAATGAGGTTAGGTCACCTGCTCAGGGTCACACAGCTAATAAATGTCTGAGGTCAGATTTGAGCTTAGAACTTTCTGACTCCAGGCTGAGAGAGGTTCTGACTTTCGTCTTGCTACTGGACTTTGAAGACTCTTGAAGAGAGTAAGGCTGATGCCTTTGTGCAACTCTGCCTCACTTAAATCAGTTCAATGTCATTGCTTTTCTTAGAAATGAAGGATGAACAACATACTTGCTAACTCTCTCATCTTCACTTCATATATCTCATCTGTTGCCAACTCTTGTTTCTACCTTTGTGACATCTCTATATGTCCACTTCACTGCACTCACAACCACCACCCTGGTACAGGTTTTCTTCCCCTCACACTTGGACTATTACAATGACCTTCTCATTGGTTTCTCTGTCTCATCTCTCCTCAATGCATTTTGTCTTCCATTCAGTTGCCAAAATGGTTTTTCCTAAAGTACGATGTCACCCCCTCACTCAATAAATTCCATTTGTGGCTTGTTGCCTCTAGGATTAAATACAAAATATTCTATTTTGCTGTTTAAACCTTTTACAACCTCGCCCATTTCTATCTTTCCAGTCTCCTTACACTTTATTCCCTTATGTATATACTACAGTGCAGTGATTCTGGCCTTCTTACTGTTCCTTGAATATAACCTTTCATTCTCTACTCTGTACCTTTTCATTGTCCGGAATGTTCTCCTTCCTCACCTTTGTCAATTGGCTTCATTGATTTCTTCCAAGACTCAGCTCTAATCCATCTTCTTCAGGAAGCCTTTACTGGTTCTGCCCACTCACTACTGGTTCTTTCCCTGTGAAATTCTCTTCCATCTGCTCTGTTTATGTCTTGTATGTTTGTAGTTGTTTACGTATTGTCTCTCCCATTAAAACTGAGGACCTTGAAGGCAGGGTCTGTGTTTTCACCTTGATATGTATTTTTATCACTTAGCACAGTGCTTGGCACACAGTAAGCACTTAATAAATGCTTAATAAAGTTGACTGACTGGACTGACTGATTCCTTTCCACATTGGTTATACTGAGTGACATGAAGCCATTGAGGGTGGTGGTGAACCACAAAATATAGAATGTTGTCATGGGGAGCAGGCATCTCCCTTCCCAAATGTCAGAATAGTGGGGTGAAGTAGCATATCACCTTGTCCTGACTGCTTTTCCCTCAGGATCCCATCACCTTTATGCCATTTTCTCAGGCCCATCTTCCCTCACAATGTGATTGCATCTGACTGGGGTAGATTGCCTGCAATCTGCCTTGAGCACTCCTGCCATCCAGAAAATTCTGGCCCAGTGGGAGGATCACCAAGGTAAGTACTGATCTTGGGTCTTGCTGCATGTGAATTATTTGACCTAGGTACTAGAATCCCAAATACAGCTCTGCCTACTTTATGCAGGATGCTGCTAGGTGGCATAATGAATATAGCTCTGGGCCCGGAGTCAGAAAGACCTGAGTTCAAATCTGGCTTCAGATGCTTATTAGCTATGTGACCCTGAGCAAGTCACCCAACCTCATTTGCCTCAGTTTCCTCATCTATAAAATGAGCTGGAGAAGGAAATAGCAAACCACTCCAGTATCTTTGCCAAGAAAACCCCATATGGGGTCATGAAGAGTTGGACATGACTGAAAATGATTAATCAACAAAATCTTTATGCAGAACACCATACTCGGGGAAGGGACATGGTGCATGGTGCATGGAGCTCAAAACCTAGCAGGGGAAATGACCAACTACACAAATAATATTGATACATGGTAAGTGCCTAAGAGAAGCGCCATGTGAGGTCTAATGTCTAAAGATGATTACTGCTTGGTGAAATCACTGAAAGCTTCTAGAAGAAGTGACATTTGTGTGGGGCATCAAGGGATAGGTAAAGATGGGGAGTAGGAAGGGCATTTCAGGAGTAGGAAACAGTGTGAGCAAAGACAAGGAAGCAGGAAAGCGTGGGAAACATAAGGGAAATAGCAGGTAATCGTGTTTAGCTGAATCATAGCACACCTGAAGCAGAGTCATATGGGATAAAGTTGCAAAGGCAGGACATCATGCCAGATTGAAAAAAGATCCTAAATACCAGGTTAAGGAATTTGAACTTCCTGAGCAGAGCCAGGAGAACATTGCACACAGTAATAGCAACATTGTATAATGATCAACTCCAATTGACTTAGCTATTCTAAACAAATACAAAGATCCAAGACAATTCCAAAGTACTCATGGTGGAAAATTCTATCCTTATTCAGAGAAAGAACTGAGGGAGTCTGAATGCAGATTGAAGATACTATTTTCACTTTCTTTGTTTTTTGTGTTTTTTTTCCTTTTGTTCTGTTTCTTCTTTCACATGACTATTATGAAAACATGTTTTACATGATTATACATATATAAACTATATCAGATTGTTTACTGTCTTAGGGATGGGGGAGATAAGGGAGGGAGGGAGAAAATTTGGAGCTCAAAATTTAAAAAAAGAATGTTAAGAATAAAACAACTTCAAGTCTTAAAAAAATGACTTTGAATTTTATTTAGGAGGTAGTAGGGAGCCATTGAAAACGGATTGTTTTTGTTTTGTCTTTGTATTCCCAGTGCTTAGCACAGTAACTGGCATACAGTTAAGTGCTTAATAAATGCTTTTTGTTTGATTGATTTAGTGCAGAAGAATGACAAGATCAAATTGGGGCATAAGGAAGATTGCTGAAAGATGAAGATAGTATAAGCACCTACTATGCTTATTGTTGGTTGATTATAAAAAAAGCCTTCAATTTGTCAGACAAAATGCCACCTCAAAGGCCTTACACAAAATAGACATATTGTAAATGTTTGTTGTATTGTTGATTGGAGTTTTATCATAGCATCATAGATTTCAACTGAGGACTCTTAAAAAATCATCTAGTCCACCCAGCTCATTTTATAGATGAGGAAACTGAGGTGGCCCAGGAGGTTAAGTAAATTGCTCATGGTCACACATGTAGTAAATAGAGTGGAATTTAGGCTCTTTCCATGGCTGTAAATGCTACACCAGGGTTGAGGAACCTGTGGCCTCAAGGCCACGTGTGGTCCTCTAGGTCCTCCAGTATGGCCCATTGACTGAATCCAAACCTCACACTGTGGCCATACATGTGGCCTCAAGGCCGCGGGTTCTGCACCCCTGTGCTACACTTACTCTGCTATATCTTCATGGCTCTTCTGAAAGTCTTTTTAATGAAAACTCCTGCAAAGAAATTATCTGAGTTAACTTCGTTCATAATGGTGCTATCTTAGGCCTTGGAATTACCCTCAGTATTTTCAGCTTTTCTCTGTAGGTTGAGTTTTCATGGCTTATTATTACAGTTTTTTTGGGGAAGGGGTATCATTTCATTAGGGTCCGGAGTTCCCATTAAAGACCTTTCTCTACCAATCTAAGTTATTGCCTTCTCTACGTGAGAAGTTAGGTGACTTGTCCATAGTCTCACAGCTGAGATGTATCAGAAGCAAGACATGAACTGAGGTATTCCTGACTTAGAAGCCAGTTTTTTTTTTGCCTAAATCTATCCTTTATAATAAAACAACTGGCCTCAGAGCATTGAGAAAAAGTATTCTGGGTTTCTGCTTCATGAGGAGTTCTCACTAGTTAGTTGAGAAATGGATTCCTCACCTTCAAAGAACTTAGGTCTAAGTGGGGATAAGGTATACACTCAGATATCACCTTCTTGATGTCATTGGACGTCTTCAAGAAAAAAAGACAAACAACAACACACTTAAAGAAATAATCAGCAACACAAGAAACTTTCTGATAAATGTTGAATGAATGATGCAGATATGAAGAGCTCAGAGAGGGAGAGCGCCATTGGGTGGAATTTGAACTGAGTCTGGAAGGATAGGGAGGATTTGGTTATGTGGTAAAGAGAGAGCATTGGGAATATATGTGAGGCATAGTGTGAGCAGACTCTGAGGCTGAAAACCCCAAGGCAGATTTGGGGACCACTTTGACTAGAGTAGAGGGCTATTCTGAGACAGTAGCATTTTTTTTTTCTAATCTGTTTAGAAAACAATCCATCCTCACAGGTCACAGTTACTCCTGGGCAAGTTAATGGAGACACCACATGTTAGGGGAGGGAATGTATTTCCTTAAGAAAACAAAGCCCCTAAATCTAGGTTGGAAACTGTGGCTAATTCAATTTGATTAAGGGATACTAGCCCCAGGGGCTTACTGTTAAGAAATCTCTGGGGGAGGAATTCAAGCTTCTTAGAAACTGGCTAGATGTGGAAGTGGGGACCCTCTAATCTTTACAAACTTCTACATGCCTGTTCTGTAAATCACCTATAATAATTTGAAAAGGCCCCTCCTGCCATGGTTTTCCTTTTCTCCAAGTGGGAAGACTGGGGTGGAATTGCTAATGTCCTACATTATCTGATCCTCCAGGAGAAGTGAAATCTCTCTCTGTCCCCATATCTGTCCAGTACTGAAAGCAGGCAATGAAACATTTCTTTTCTTCATTCAAGCTTGATCAGGAGTTTCTGTGCTCCTTTTGGCCAAACATAGACTCATGGTTAATGGAAACATAGTGAATGTTTGGGGAAGCATAACCAGGAGGAAAAAAACTGTCCCAAGAGTGGGATGGAAATCAAATCAAGGTATTTGGTGAGAAGGGAATGTTATTGACTTGAAAAGAATAATGTCAGTGTGAAAAACAACCCCAAAGAAAAGCCAGCCCCAAACCTTTGTGCTTTTAAATCTTGATTTCTGCCACCAAAAAGAATTTAATGGTTTTCAGTCCGTTTGGGTAGTGTGTCTGTTGGACAGTTATGTTTTCATTTATGACTTCACTCTCTGTCAAAGTTAAGAAAGTGTCTTAAGCAATTCCTCTTTGTTCCACTGGGAACCTACTAATTCTACAGGGTAGGTGGAAGTTTTCCTAATACCATCTCCTTGCTTCTGTGATAAGTATCACTTTGCTGCTAGTTACATGGTGATAATCTTTTTCTAGTAAACAGGTAAGGATATTTTATTTTCCCCCCTGCTCCCCAGGAATATTTCTATGTGACTGGCTCTAATTTGGACTAAGAACCGAGGTGACTGGGATGGTTTACATTTTACAGTAGTCTTGGCATTAACCTCTTTCCTAACTGATTAGGAACTGAAAAATGGCATTCAGACAAGTCATTAATAGGCAGAGGGGTTGAAGGGCCTTTGGGGGAAGTCCTATAGTGGAGAAGAGAATGTCCCTGTTGAGTAAAGAAAGCCACAGGATCAGCTTTTCCCAGTTTTGAAATATCTTTCCCATCCTATGTCCCATCTTGGGATTTATTAACCAATCCCACAATGCTATCCTTTCAAATAGTCATTTTTTTTTTAGTCATGTCTGACTCCTTGTGACCCCATTTGGGGATTTTCTTGACAAAGATACTAGAGTAGTTTGCCATTTTCTTCTCCAGCTCATTTTACAGATGAGGAAACTGAGTCAAACAGGGTTAAGTGACTTGCCCAGAGTCACAGCTAGTAAGTATCTTAGGCCAGATTTAAATTCAGGAAGATTACTGTTCCTGATTCCAGGCCCAGCACTCTATCCCTGCGCCACCTACCTGTCCTTCTTTTAATCAGTAAATCAATATTTTTTTGCCAACTATTTAGATCACCGGAAAGTTTGAAACGTTTGCGGAAGGAAAGGTGTTTTGTTGTTGTTGTTGTCATTGATATTCATAGCATAGAGAAAGTGTGTGGTAAGGTATTGAGAGTGCTGGGCTGGAAGGCAGACGATCTGAGTTTGAATCCTGCTTGCTATTTTGGGGCAGCTAGGTGGCAGAGTGGATAGAGTGCTGGGCCTGGAGTTAGGAAGACTCATCTTCTTGATTTTAAATATGGCTTTGGGCATTTATTAGCTCTGTTCCTTGGGCAAGTCACTTAACTCTTTTGTCTTAGTTTCCTTACCTGCAAAATGAGTTGGAGAAGGATTAGATGACCTGGAAACTCCATTCCGGGTCTAGATCCACTATCCTCTGACCTACATCATATGGAAATTTACATTGTTAGCCAAAATGGTCCAAAATGAAAATTACCTTCTGTTTACCATGTCCATTAATATTTAAAATAGATTGGATTACTATGTTGGTTTACAAAAAAAGGATCTTCCCAGAATTGTAAGAGGCAGCTTGGCACAGTAGCAAGAGTTGGACATGAGGCCAGGGGAACCCAAGTTTAAATTCAGTTTCTGGCAAATATACCATGTGACCTTGGGCAAGTCATTTAACTTCTTGGTACACAAGGCAGCTTTTTAAAATGTTAGGTTAGAGAGAAGTTGCTGATTTGCTTTGGTAGAAGTTTCTTCCCCCAGAAGTTCCCTGTACTAATGAAACCACATGTGCAGCTCCTATCCCTTCTCCTGGTTTTGGTATCCACTTTGCCCACATTGATTATTGAAGAGTCTGGAAGGACAATTTCAGGGATCATTTAGATTAGGGTTTTTAATTAAAAACAAAAAACTTTTTTTTTGGTGGATTAATGTGAAGGTTACAACAGACTCCTTGTCAGTCAGTTGCTTAATCAATAAGTGGAAATGTTTATTGACTACTGGAGGGGTACTTGGTGCTGTGCTAAACATTTGACTTGCTGTCTATCCTCTGTCCAAGTCCTTCTTGGCAAAATGTGCTGAACCAATGAAGATAAAGTGGCAGAAAAGGCAGAAAAAGCTTTTTGTCTGCCAGAAAGTTCTTGCAAAACAACACGTTAAAGAAGCAAGAAGAAATAAACAAAGACCATATGGATTCCAACTCTCCTGAAATATATTTGGGCTAAAAAATTAGGAGAATTGTTTGGTAAAAATAATGTTTTATGCTCCTGATGCCAATTAAAACAATAACTTAAAAAGTGGATGATGGAGCCCAGTCCTGATTTGGATCCAGACAAATTGTTCTTCTTTTTGCAAAAGCTCGTTCACAATTTTACAAGAAAGGCAACAAGTCTTTTCAGTTTAGTGCTTAGTGAATACTTTTTAATTGTTAATTCCCCCAACTTCTGAATTCCCTGGCTCATAGATTTAGTGCTGGAAGAGTACTTCAAGGTCACTTACTTTAATCCTATTTTTTTTTAAGATTAGGAAATGAACTCAGAGAGGTCAAGTGACTTGTTTAAGGTAACACAAGTAGAAAGTGGCAAAACCAGGTTTTGAACCTCTGAGTTTCCATCCAGTACAATTGCCATGGCAACATACTCTCATGTGCTATCAACAGATCCTTGCAAATGAGATTATTGTAAAATAAAGTTATTGACAAAATGCTGGACTTGTAGTTAGCAGTCACAGTCTATTCCCCAATGAAAGCTGTTGGAAATTGTCAGAGGGTAAGAAGCACCATGGAAATGCAACATTTTAAAATTAGATTAAAGCCTAATTAGAAAAATGGGATGACTTTGTTACCATGGTGAATGCCATCTTCTCAGTTTTTTTGTGTGTGATTCTTTCCAGGAATGGAAAAAATATATTTAGTAAATTTATCCCTGGTTAAAATTACTTAATAACTAGCACACACCACTTGCCACATAGACTCCTCTTGAGAATTCATATTTGTCCATCTGTTTCTCCCTAAAAGAATATATGAAAAGCAGTTTTCATAGTTGCTTAAACTTCAAGAATGTCAAGTGTATTTCAAATGTACATATGTGTTCTTTGTGTCATGTACAATGCTTGTGTTTGTATTTCAGGCAAAAATCTGGCCAAATTGTGCTCTTCAGATAAGAAGAACATTTCATTTCCTAATCTTCCTGAATTTCCCCACCAGAGAGCTGCACCATAAACAGATCTTTAGCTGTGGAAAGATTTGTTACGTAAGTGTTAAAAAGAGAATAAATCCATCTTTATAAGTAAATGATATCCCAGCTCACATTGTAAAAATATAATCACCTGCCTTAAGAAGAAAAAAAAACACACGACTGGTTAGCTCTAAAGAGAATGGTGCCAAACATGGGAAAATTAAAAATAGCTGAAAGAATAAATAAGATCCTTTGCTACAATGTTAGTGCTGTAGTTATGAAAAAAAGATACAGAAAGTAGAGCAGGTGAGAATATGATCTGATTTTCTCTTAAAACTCTAATTCTAGCTAGAGCCAGAGTTAGCTCTATGGTTAATCTCATTGATACCAATAATCATTTTTAATGGACTATGATACTCAGGATTTTGGATTTATATCACATCCCAGGGCATAGTAAAGAATTTGTTTTCTTTCAAGTGGCAGTTTAAATCTGTTGAGAAGGGCTAACCTTTCAAGTGGAGAGTCCAATAACCTCAATGTAAGTAAGAAAGTATCTGGTGTAGTTGAAGCTGTCAGAACTTCTATTACCACTCATCTCAGAGCAAATGGGATTTATAAAAGAATTTAAGAGGACACTTACGTCTTGCTTCATTCAGTCAGTCAGTAAGCATTTATTAAGTTCCTACTATGTGTCAGGCATTGTGCTAAGTGCATCACTTCAGCCCTAATCCATAGACATTAGGATTTTGCTGCTAGCAGCAGTAACTATGAAAAAAAATCACAATTTCTCTGAGCCGCAATTATCTTACCCTTAAAATAGGGTTAATAATTCTTGTACCTACTTTGTAGAGTTTTCTGGTAAAAGTACCTTAAAAAGCCCAAATACTTCAGTATTTCAACTTTAAAACCTAAAGTATAATTTAAACTTAGCTAACTTCCCTCTTCCCAAAGTGAGCCCTTAAAAATTACATTCAGGTAAGATATACTTTGGAAGAACATTGTTTTTTAGAACTAAAATCATCAGTGTTTTTCTTTTATGAAAGCCTTTGTAAATAAAATGTGTATAATTATATCTACAGTTGCTATCTCACAAGGCTGATATTTACATTATCAGGGATGATTAGAGTACTTCCTCAATTGCCTTTGTTGCTTATATAACAGTAACTCATTGTAGAGAGAAAATTGTGATGATAATTTATGAGCTTTTGTAAGCCCAGGAATGAATTTTCTACTTTGTTTATAGGCTCCTAAGAACCCTTTGTATTATTTTAATTTTTCTGTAGGGTGAAATAAAGATTTTCCTGTTATCTGATATGTATCTATTACCTTGAGTGTTTATATAACAACTGGGGACCCTGTTGCCCAAATTTGTGGAGACTTGTGTTTGATGATTTTCCTAGAGTAGATTCTGGGTAGAGGCATAATGAGCCAAAGAAAGAGTAATATTTTTGAAATTCTTCAATTCTCTTGCTAGCAAGATAGAACTGTATTCATGTAAACCTGGAACATGTTGTCTGGAACCTGTGTTACATTTAAAATTGTGTGCAAAATGCTTTGCATACCTTTAAGCACTATATAAGCTGAATTATTATTATTGTTACTGCTATTATTATTATTATTCCAATTTTTAAGAACACACTGCCTAGAATGTTGTGGGGACATAGTTGACTTTCAATAAATACTTATTTAATGTTTGGAAAGTATTATATTAAGATTTCAGTGTAGGTTATACATTGTTATCTCACCATTGTTTATGTTTTTTTTTCCTAGTTTTTCCTTGTGTTTTAAACACTGTCTGCTAAGCTAGCGTATAACTAGATAGTATGCATCCAAAAGTCTCCATAAATCCTTTGCCTAAATGAAGGGAAGGTTAGGAACCTATGTAGACAGTGTGAAAGACAGGTCTTTGGTATGAGTGCAGAGGTTAAGAATTACTGTTTGATAGCTTCTGATGGGGCCAGAAAATTAGCTCAACCAATTTAATCCATTATTCATCATGTCTATGAACATGTGCTACTTGGCAGGTAGGCGGCACAGTGGATAGAATACTGGGTCTGGAGTCATGGAAGACCTAAGTTCAATTTGGGTCTCAGACACTTACCAGCTGTACAACCCAGGGCAAGTCACTTCAACTCTGCCTCAGTTTCCTCATCTGTAAAATGAGGATAATAATAGCACTTGCCTCCCAGGGTTGTAACATGAGGATAGTAATAGTATTTACCTCCCAAGGTTGTTGTAAAGATTAAACAAGATAATAATTGTAAAGCACTTGGTACAGTGTCTAGTACATAGTAGGCACTTAATAAATGCTTATTTCCTCCCTTCATCTTAATATGGGCAACCACACAGCAGCAACTCATATATATCTGCCAATTCTCTGTGAATTTTTTTTTCCACTGAGAAATCTCTCTCCATACATCTGTCACAGAGGAGCTACATATCATACAGTTTTTAGACCTTCTATTAACCTAATACTGGGCAAAATCTCATAGCATTACTTGGGATGAAAACTTAAAATGTTCCACTTTTCAGCCTTGTAAGCTCAACCTACAAAAGCAGAGTTGGATCTAGGAAAGACACATGTCTGTTCTTCTAAGCAGAGCAAGAGGCTTTAATTGATTCCTTAAAGAAATTGCACAGGCTTAAAATAGAAGTCATCAGAGCAAAGAAAAGCTAAATAATTTAGTAAATTCAGCAACCACTAATCCTCTTTTTTTGATTAAAGGAGCGATGAGATGATAGAACTATGTTTTAGCTTTTATAACGGCTGCAGAGTACTTAGTCCTCTATTGACTGTGTGAGAAGTCTGCATAAACAGACATCTCCACCCTGGCATTTTTGCCTGTTCTGGGGCTTTTTCAAAAATCTGGTTTGGTGCTAATCAGCACCTTTTTTTTTTTTTAATATTAGTCAAGAGACCAGAAACCTCATAGAACTGGAAAACAGAGATGCTACTTTCTGTTTCTGTACTGGATGTTTCAGCTTGGGTGAACAGTCCTAAACGATACCCAGCAACACTACCCCCACCCCTACCGGGGGTCACTCTTATTCATGGGGGAGCAGACAGCAACTCTATGCTGCAATTGGAGTGGGCCCTGGAGAGGAAACTGTATAATAATCTTTCCTGCCCTGGTTTGCTGGTGATACTTAAGATTGCTACACTATTCACTCCTTTGGATTAAAACATTGAAACTAGCTCTTTGTTAACCTGTAAAAGTAAAGGGATGAAATATTAGCCAATGTCCCCTATTAGCACCTTTGTCATATAGTGACTGATCCACCAAGAGCTGGGTTTGAATCCCAAATTCTATGCTAGCCAGGGAGCCTAGGACAAATCCCACATTAGTGTTCTGACCTTTAGTTTCCTCATCTATAAAATAGTCCAAAAAGAAGGCTTGTGCATATCAAAAAAGATAATGCTGTGTTAAAGTTCTTTTTACAGCAGAAAAGCACTATACAACTGCAAACCATTATCCTCATTATTAGTTTCAGAGCAGGCCTCAGTGAGCTTCTTTTTGGTTGGCGGTCGGGGGTCAGTCCTTGAGCTCTGGATACCTAGAAATGGGGCAGGGACTGAGACAGGAATTGGAGTGGCACCATTTCACAGTTGCGTCAATGGAGGACTTTGGTTATAATTTCTCCCCTCCTCTCTTCTCTCTTCCTCCAGCCCCCCTCCCCCCCATGGGAATTGGATCACAGAAAGAAAGGCCTAGAAAAGAAGACACAGCATTTTAGATCTGGAAATGAAATTTAAATCTCTGAGTTGTTGACAACCATCCTGTCAAATCTGCTGACCATGCTGGTTGACCTCCATTAGATGCTTTATCATAAGAGTAAACTATTTTGAGAGCCATCATGGCCTAGTTAATAGAGAACAGGCCTGGGAGACCTGGGTTCAAGTCCTACCTATCAGATCCTGGCCATGTGACTCTGGGCAAGTCACATAATCTCTCAATACTCCAGATAACTCTGCTACTAAAAATTGCAGAGTACATGCCCTTCTGCATTGGTGGGGACTGCAAAAGCTATCTAGTTAGTTCAAGCTTCTCATTTTACATTTTAGGAAATCAAGGCCCAAGGGAATTAGATGATCTGCCCAAGGTTACACTTAATCAACTCAGAAGCGGGATTTGAACCCAAATCCTTTGACTCCAAGGATAGTGTTTTTTCCATTGTACCACAGTAGAAGGGCTTTCTTTGGTGGTAATAACTTATTCCTATGAAATCACAGGTCCAAACAATTCTCTTTCTCTCTCTCTCTGTCACTGTTTCTGTCTCTTGATCACTGTTTTTCTTTGTCTCTAATACACACCCCGCCTACCCCCCCACCTCAACAGAAACAATCCCATTGCACATTTCTACCTTAACAGGATCATCAGATTTAGACCTGGAAATCCATCTAGCCAAATTAAGCCCGTCTTCTTAAGTTAGAAAAAAGATCTTAAATAGGGAAAAAAGTCTCAAAGGCATCTGAAAATTGCAATAGAATGCATGCACAAGCAAAATGTCACTTTTTTTGCCTCTGAGATATTTTATTTTTATTTCAGCCAGATTATTGACTATTTTACTTGGCCATCTAAGACCTGTTTTGCAACAGATGCTCTATGTTGTATATGTAGATATTAGGATGTGTTTCAATGATAATAAGGAGAGTTCTGATTGTTGTTATCTCCAATAACATATAGGACATACAGCTCATTTCTTCTATTCCCCCAAGATTAAATTCTTTATTTGTAAGGTGGTAAAAACAGATTCAAAAGAAGGGGCTTTACATCATTTGTGACCTGATAGTCGCATGTCTCTGCTAACCTACCCAGTGAAAGTTAATTGCTGTCTACTTGGAAAGCTCGGAGCAGCAGATTTTGCCCCTGGCAAGATTATTTCACAAAAGCAGGAACAATAATCAGCCAGCCTGTCTCTCAGCCATTACCGTGTCAGATGAAAGCTGGGAAATCTAAAATGAGTTTAAAAGAGGCCCAAGTTCAAAATTAGTGCTTATGTCCTAAGCACCAGATAATAGAACACAACACAGGGAGTTCTAAAAAAAAACAAAACAAACCCTAAAAATCCATTTA